CACGTGTATCGTAGGCCCTAAACCCTAAACCCTAGACCCTAGACCCTAAACCCCAAACCCTAAACCCTAAACCCTAAACCCTAAACCATAAACCCTAAACCCTAAACCCTAAACCCTAGGGGCCCCCTCTTCTCAGGCCCTGGCCCTGTTCTCCCTCGTGCTGATCCTCTGCCTCAGCGTTTTCCGCCCCTTTGGCCGACCTTTCATAGGGTTTAGGGTTTTTGTTGGGTTTAATAGGGTTTCATAGGGTCTTAATGGGGTTTATCAGGGTTTCATAGGGTTTCATAGGGTCTTAATGGGGTTTAACAGGGTTTCATAGGGTTTTGGTTTTCATGGGGTTTCATAGGGTTTTAATAGGGGTTAAATAGGGTTTCATATAGGGAATAATAGGGTTTCATAGGGTTTTAATAGGGTTTCATAGGGTTTCATTTGGTTTAATAGGGTTTAATAGGGTTTAATAGGGTTTAATAGGGTTTCATAGGGTTTTATAGGGTAATAGGGATTAATAGGGGTTTCATATAGGGTTTCATAGTTTGTCATAGGGTTTCATAGGGTTTCATAGGGTTTAAAAGGGTTTTATAGGGTTTCATAGGGTTTAGGGCTCAAAAGGGCTTCTAGGGGGTCAGGGTTTGGAGAGTAGGCTGGTCTAGTGGGTTTAGCATAGCAATGACGTTCCCCTTGCAATCCCTGTGTCCTCTACAAAGCCCACCCGAAACAGTACAACTCTATAGCCCTAAAGCCCATAACCCTACACCCTAAACCCTCGGACCCATAACGCTATGTAACCCTGACAGTCAGAAGCCCTGCTGCCCTTAACTGAATCGCGCAACTCTACGAGACCGCTTCCGATCCTCCGCTAGAGGTGGCTCCGGCACCTTCGTGAGCAAGCCGCAGGTCACCCCTAGGCACCAGATGTTTTTTTTGTATTGCTTTAATGGAACATGAGTACATGTGTATCCGTCTTCATATATCTATATATGTGTGTGTATACATACATATATATATATATATATATATATACATACATGTACACAAAATTGCTTATTCGCTTGTCGGTTCACGTCCCAACGACTCTTCCCGTAAGTGGAAATCTCTGTTTTGGACTCTGTCTGTGCATCGTCTGAAGGCATGGAGCAGGCCTCCCGAGCCGACCGGGTCGAGAAATAGAAACGTTCAGAAGTACACATGGGGGTTTCCGAATCTAGGGGGACCCTAATATAGTGCCCTAGAAAGGTAGGATCCTCATTAGAAGGACCCCCAAAATAAGGACCCCTTGTTTTCGGAAACTCCCACATGTCCTGAGGATGTACTGTATTTACTATTCAGGGTTTATCTTGGGCCGTTCGAGCTGAGTGTGTTTTAAGCCTAAACCTTGCACCCAAAGACCCGTAAAAGCCTAAGCCCCAAACGCCCTAAACCAGACCCTCGTGCGACTTTCGGCTTCGTGGCTTCTCTCGCTTTCTTTCTAGAAATTTCCAGCCTGTCCGGGGTCTTCTGCCTGAGCTTCGACCCTGAGAAGCTCTAGGCCCTAAACATGACCTAAACCCTCTTGGAAAGACTCCACCAGCGGGTTTAGGGTTTAGGGTCTAGGGTTTAGGGTCTAGGGTTTAGGGTCTAGGGTTTAGGGGTTTAGGGCTTAGGGTTTAGGGTTCACCAGCACCCCGGAGTCCCTGGAGCCCTACCCCGAGCCCTCCAACCCTCAACATCGCAGGCCTTCACATTTCGCAAAGCCCAAGAGAATCCTCGGCAGGTTGAGCCCGCGCTCCACGAGCCAGGCAGCACCCTGGCAAGGAGCATAACGTCTAACCTAAACCCTAAACCCTAAACCCTAAACCCTAAACCCTAAACCCTAAACCATAATCCGCCGGCAAGGGCGCAGGCAGTAGTTGATCCTTCATCATCCAAGACGTGAACTCACTCAGACCTGAACCACCTAAACCCTACGCCTCCGCCCTGCCTAAACGCAAACCAAACCCGCTAAACCATGAAAGCCCGATAAACCCTAAACCTACAGCTGAGGGTTTCAACTTGTCTTTGGGACCCTTCGAAGGGCCAACGCGGCCTGAAATCCCAGCCACAAATCCTTTTGCTTGTCCACGACACATTGTATCCAAATGCCTTAGTTCCTCGAGCCTTTTTGGAGCTCGCAGTAGGGCCGTAGTACAGCGGCTGTAGGGTTTCTGGTTTTTAGGCTTGCAATCCTGGTAAGCTCCCAATAAGAGTTTCACAAATACAGGGACCTCACACAGACCCGAGGTGAGGACACCTAAGCTTAAATGCGACATCCAACCAACAACACCCTTGCAAAGCCCCATAGACTCCCAAGCCGTAAACCTTGCAAGCCTCCATGTAAGGATCTGGCCAAGTTGCTCGGCAGCACCCGGCTTTCCAGCTCGCGGTGCGGATTTTGGGATTTGGGTTTTCAGGGCTTGGGGCTTAGGGTACTGGGTGAAGGGCTTCGTGGGTTAAACCGTTCCGAAGCCTTCTTGTAACCCTAAACCCTAAACCCTAAACCCCACAAAAGCCCGGGGCGGATCTCAGGGACGGTGCTCAAGGGCGACCTGCTCGCTCCGAGATCGCCGAGATCGCGGAGGTTCATGGCTTTTTCTGGGAGCCTTTAAAACAAGACTTTGTGTTTAGGGTTTAGGGTTTAGGGTTTAGGGGTCAGTGCAGTTGAGGGCGTAGGGTTTAAAAGGGTTAGGGTTTGTTGGAGACTACAACAAGTTTCTCAACATCCCCTGCTCAGGTGGGTACTTTGCCTAAAGCGACAGAGGAGTGGCCTCCCGACCTCAGATACCTCGGGCTGGGGTGGAAATCGTTTGGCTTGGAGTTGCGGGGAGTAGGGCTTAAGGGTTGAGGGTTGATGGTGTGGGCTTTGTGTTTGCTTAGGGTTTGGAGAGTGGTTTAGAGACTTCTAAGAGTTCAGAGTTGGGGGGGATGTGAGTTCAGTCCACCCTAAACCCTAAACCCTAAACCCTAAACCTTGGGTGGTTTGGTTCAGGCCCTGGGCTTGATCCGGAAGCGAAACAGGCATTGCCCATAAGTGTGCCCAAATCTGATCCCGCTATAGGCTTTGCTGCAAGTCATGCGGGGCCAGACAGGCCCTTGCATTGCCCCCACCCGATACAGGGACGGGATAGGAAAGAAACCCTCAAGCCTGAACCGAAAAACCTAAAACCCCGCCGGAACACCATAATAACGCAAGAGCATTCAAGATCCTACAGCAAGCCCACAAGGCTCTCGTCCCTTCCCAACTGGGTCTGGCGTGGGGTGATCCTGGTGCTGTGCATGTTGTGGGCCACCAATTTTGCGGTCATCAAGGACGGGGCTTCGAGGCACAGGGTTCGAGGCCTTTGGGTTTGTAAATTTTGGGGTTTAGGCTAGTTTAGCGCTCAGCGCGCCTAGAGGAAAGGGCTTTCTCCTCCAGTTGTGGCGGCGTCCACGGTTCATGGGTCTGGGTCTAATTTTGTTGTGATCTCTGGCGGGGCCCTAAACCCTAAACCCTAAACCCTAAACCCTGAAACCTAAACCCCCCTAAACCCTAAACCTCTGTCTTCAGGCTTTCGAAGCCAGCGGAAGCGGCTCAGGGCTATGAAGCTCCAAGCCCTGAACTCGAAGCCCTGAATCCTAAACCGGTTCAGCCCGTTACCCAAAGTCCTAAGGCCAAAAGCCTATGGGTTTAGGGTTTAGGGTTTAGGGTTGAGGGCTCTCTTTGATTGCAGATGCAGCCTTCTGATTAAGAATGCTCCTATCTTTCAGGGCCTGCCTACTTATTGGTGGTATGCGTTAAACCAAAACCTTCAAGGTCTAAAACCCTGAAGCCCCATCCTAACCCTTATGCACACTGAACCCAAAACCCTAAACCCTAAACCCTAAACCCTTAAACCCTAAACCCTAAACCCCTAACACAAAACCTCGAGTCCTGTCCCAGAAGCTCTCACTCGCCAGGAGATCACGGCCCAGCCGGGCGTCACCACGCAGATGCCGCAGCCTCAGGGGCTTTAGGGGTTTGTCGGGGTGAAGGCTCAGGGTTTCGGGAGTTTGGGGCTTATAGGGCTTAGGGTTGCGGGTTTTGACAAGCTGAGGCTTTAGAGCTTTTTTTTTGGTGGAGGGGGAGGGTCTCGGAAGGTTCGAAGGGCTTCAAGCTCAAGGTTTTTGTTGACAGTGTCTTCAGCTTAGCGTTTTCAGGTTGTCGATGTTACTGGGTTTCGACTCGAGTGCCTGATCCCCCAAAGAAGAGCGGTACTATAGGGGCCTTGATAATTACGTTATATTCTTTTGAGGTTTCCCTATTATAGTTCGAGAACAATATACCCCAGAACCCTATTCTAAATCCTAAACCCTAAACAACCCTAAACCCTAAACCCTAAACCCTAAACCCTATCCTAACTATTAAGGCTTCTACGTTACAGTCCCCCTTTTTTTGCGACGGTATCTGCATGGCGAGCTCTGGAGCGGCTTGCGGAAAGGTACGCCGTGTCGCGCTTCACCGTCGCCGCCGGGCTACTGTCACCTTGGAAGCCTGGCGTTTGGGGTTTGGGGTATACTATACAGGGTTTAGGGTTTAGGGTTTAGGGTTTAGGGTATACTATACTATACTATAATAATAATAATAATGATAATGAGGCGAGACTCAAGATTTGGGGGGAGGGTAATAAGGGGGGATGTCCGGGTTCAGGATAGGGTTCATGCAGGCTGCGGCTGCGGGTGGTGGGGCGTTACAGTAGGGTTTGGGATCAGGGAGTTTCAAGCTGGTTGAAGGCTTTTTCTTGCAGGGTTGTCGGGTTTGGCTCTCGGGTGTTGCCGGTGAAGGTGTTCCAAGGGCTCTCCCTAAACCCTAAACCCTAAACCCTAAACCCTAAACCCCTCGTGTAACTGTAGCGCGAAGGAGGCCCGAAGCGCGAACATCTCGACTCTGGGAGGCTTCTAGCCCTAAACCCTAAGCCCTAA